GTAATTCGTTAAAAAGACGTCAGAAAGAAAGCTGTTGGGTGTAGTGTTATAACTGTAAACCTCTAGTTTGTGAAGAACATAAGTCGCTGAAAACTGAAGCGGGCTGATTGTAATTGTGTCAACACAAAGTATAGGGCCAACATTTGAAATATAATTCAGTGAACACATCGGGTCTGTCAATGATGGCGAAATCGATAGCACGCCGGCCAGTTACGTACCATCTGATGCGAGTGAGCTGCGGCAAAATTTGAATTCTCACTAAACCTCCCTCCTTTTAAAATATTAAGTAGCACAAATCATTTATGACTCATGATTGATTCTTGGGGTTTGATGATCAGTCGGTGTATTAGAGCCCGAGTTCGGGTTGAGTGTTGTCTGTTAGATTAATCAAGTGCCTCGACGTCGGTGCTGAAATCTGCCGGACTTGTATTCGTAATCCGGTGTTCCACCTGTAAATCCATGGGTATGCAATCAGAGGAGCGTTTCGTTGAATCTTGTAACCCGGTCCTAGGTCTGAGGTGGTGATATGTCTAATCCATACGAATTGTCCCACTGACTTCCTACGTGACGGATCCATCTCACCGATCCGTTTGTAAATTGCGTACATAAACATACTCTCGTTCCTTTTAGTGGATGAGGTCCATGCTAGCACGTTCAGGAGGGAGCTCGAGTGCGTTATTCGTGAAAAATGGTATGCAGCTCAGATTTGAATGCATACCTTGATCCATTGGCGGCCAGGCTTATACGGGAGGTTTCCCACTGCTTCTAATTGACAAACATTGAACAGTATGATGTTAGTATTTTTAGCGGCACGTGATTGTGTAATATTTTGCGCGCTCGGAATCATGGCATTCGTCGACCTAGAGACAGTTCGGCCGGGGACCTCTGTTCCGGGGTAGCTGGGTTGGAAGTCAAATTGTAAGTGAGGAGTAATGCATCAATAGACTGTCGTACTTTATCTTCCCTCTTTGACTTGATCAAAGAACGTTTCAAAGTGTTGACGAATAGTTCTACTTGACCGTTCGATTGCGGGTGATACACTGGAGTACGGACATGGTGGATGCTATTTGATCAACAGAAAACAGCGAATTATGGAGATTTGATTTGTTGGCCGTTAGCTGAAACCAGGACTTCCGGCATGCTAAACTTGGCAGATAATCGGAAATTTGTCATTACGACGGATATAGTTATAACACGCATCGGAATAACTTCGTACCACCTAGAATATGCATCAATAATCACTATATCATACATACCTTCAACAGGGCTAGAAAACTCAACGAGGATGCGTGATCAGGGCACCACGGAAGGTTGCCTTGATTGAGGTTCAGCTTGAGGTGGTAGTTCTGCTATCATTTAACAATTTTGACAATTTTCAACTACGCATTCAATTTGCTGATCCATAAATGCCCAATAGGCGTAACTTCGAGCGATTGCCTTCATGCAACTGATACCAGGGTGACCACGATGAAATTGTTTCAACACAGTTCATTGTGAAGTATGGGACACAACAACTTGTTCTCCAATCATCAAACATCCTTGTTTGACAGATAACGCCAACCTCCTTTTCAAAAATTCTTGATGAGCTGTGTTTTTAGGGTTTTTAGGGCAACTGGTTCTACAATAATGCATCACATCCTACAATAACTTGTCCTTCGAGGCGACTCCCAGATCATCGTAGCGGTAACTAGTAGACTGCGCATCGCATCCTCAAAGACGTACTGAACATCAGAATTGATGGCAATTGATGCGATTACACTATCCTCCTCAGGGAGAAGATTGCCACAGTCGGCTCTTAGTCTAGAGAGGACATCAACGTGTCCAAAACTTGTCGTTTTAATGAAACGTAAGTCAAAATCATAACCTATTAGCATTGTGATCCAACGTTGTAACCGATTTGCAGTGTATACCGGGACTCCTGTCTTCGTACCGAAGATGGGCAGCAATGGTTTTTGGTCAATGATCCGGGCGAGTTTTCTTCCGCGCACCATTTTACGGAACTTCTTTGGTGTGAAAATCACTGTCAGTCCTTCTTTTTTTCAGTTTCACTGTAGTTCTTTTCTCTCGCCGACAGTACTCTGGAAACATCACACACGGCCTTACATCTACCATCTGCTAGTTCGTGTAACAAAACGACTCCAATTCCATATTCTGAAACGTCCGTCAGCTGCAACAATCGTGGATAGTTGGGGATCATAGTGAGTGATAAGTAACTCGGACGTAAGAATTCTTTCAATTGCAATGAATGCATCCTGACGGTAGAATTTNATTTCGATTCGCACTACCCAGAGTGCAGTAGGGTTGACGTTTCACACGGATCCTTTCTACCGGATTCCATTGATTTTTGTGTGGCAAAGTGGTTCGCAATACATGACGTCACTAGTGGTTTCACTTCTCAAGTTACCTCGATGCCAGGACAGCTGGACTGCTTTGATCGGTTTGATCTGCGCACACAACGCTTTATGCAGCAGTCTAATTGTGCTCGGTTTCATATTTGCTAATTGGCTTTCTCACATAGGGNAGTAATTTGATTGTGTGGCTAACTGTGCTCAGCCAGGCTTTCTTTGACTCTCAACGATAACCGCCTCGCCGTTTGACTTGCGCACCTTGCCGCGAAGTGAATGAATGGGGAACCATGTATTCTGAGGTTGGAGGGGATATAACCTATGTAGCATTTGTGAGTATTGTCGGTCTGCTAGTTGGGGAAGCGGCGAAACAGCTACCGGCAACCACCCTCGTTTGGTCGTCATTTAAGCACCGTGTTGATCACGTTAGTTGTGTGAACAACTCTTTTACTTCGTCTATCATTATCATCAACCTTGAAAATGTAGCACCCCAAACAGTAGCAGATTTTAAAAAAATCCCTCATCCCAGCATCGAACGCAAATTCTATTTCACCATATGGTATTGTGCAATCGTCCGTTCTCAATATTCTCATTCTCCCGCTATATTTTTTCTACTGAACTCCGTCCCTAGAAAGTCGCATGTGATTCACTTTGTTGCGTCATGCCTGATTAGTCTCCCGAAATCGTTCAGCGTAACTATGATGAACTAGCCTTACTGTTGATGCTGATACCAAAACGATCGTTGTAGTATTATCGTGGTTTAATTTTTTCCGTATCCCGGATTTGTCAGCTACAATACTTATGATTACTTAATTGGGTGGCGAGTATCATGCTGGGTCGAACAGGCTTGTCTTCAACTAGGTTTGCTCGTGCAAAGAAATTCCTTAAACTAGTATCTGTAATTACGTGGTCGGAATAGCGCAGTCTGCCCACGGCGATGTGATATGGACATCATGTCGCAATTAGTCGAATATGCATGGCTCTCACAGTCGTGTATCCCCGAATTTATCAACGAGTGGACTTGCATCGCTTCGTCGGTTTTCAGATACGATAAGGAATGACCTATACCTTATGTCAAACGCTCATGTGTAGAGTACATACAGGCAAATCGCATTAGGTTTGTACCTGCCTGCTGTCGCACTACTTTCAAATTGCCTGTTGATGAGCTTGCTAAAGTTTGACCACAGTCCGGTGATCATTTATATGAATATTCTTCAACATCCTCAGAAATTTCACTTTATTTGATCGAATTCCTAACTCCGAGAAAAAATTAGCACTTCTTTCAGGTTTCCCGGAGAATCTTCACGATTGATATCTACATTGTGTATGGGTCACAGAGAATTATTTGCAGATCTACTCCTGTTGATTACAATATATTTATTTTCACAATGAAACTGACAGTTGAATTCATCGTTTGTCTGGCAACCATCTAGGAAATTGCTTGCTGAAGCTGCCAACGTGGCATCTAGTACACCCGCGACAAATTTGTCCGTAAATCAAATCGTGGCTCAGTTGCGACACGCGCTGCAGCTCGCGCATTCGACCACCCGCCTCGCGGACAAGGACAACGGTACAGCGTCAATCTCATCCCAACCGACTTCTCCCAGACTAACCAAAGCCTTGGCACAGATTCTCGCCCAAGGCGGTCTCGACGGGGCCGGGACCAGACGATCACGTGACCAGAGCCCGATAAGCCTGAATGCAATTCCCATGACTGCCTTGTCGACACGACACAAATACAGCAGTGGCTCAGTTCGATCGGAGGATTCGATTGGACCTAATATGCCCACGTACATCTTTTGGTTTTGCCCTGTGGTTTGTTATACATGCATATTCAATCGTCTGACACTTAGTTATATGCCAGATACAGCGCTTTTTCAATATGAATTATGAACGGTTGACTAGCTTCTAGTGTGATCCTGCATGTTTTTGGTCTATTTCCCCTTTTCGACGTTTATCACTGCTTCTTTAGGAAATTTCTACCTCTTTGTATGCGATTTTTCTCGAAATAGTCTCTCATAGCGTCTGATATCAGAGGGGTGAGATAATCAATGAACAACTCTGACGCGTTTACTGTCCCAGCAGTGCTAATTTGTCACTGCAGCATTCAGGGTTGAGGACACTAATGGATTCATGTGTCACTAGATTGTGTGTAGGCTTGTTGCATTAATAATAACTCCAAGATTTCGTGTTTGTCAGGTGAACTTTTTCGACTAGGTGAAGCCTGATCTGCAAAGCTAGCGAGGCGCTGTGTGTGAAAACTGCGACCAATAGAGAAGGCCTGCTGGTGTCCAGTTTATCGAATCTTACACGTTTTCGACAATGTTAAACAACCAAGGTACACAATCTTTTTCCATATCTAATCAATCTAGCAACTACCAGGGTTTGGTGGGTTTCAGGCTGGTCNGTCAATGTGCCTGGCCTTTAAAACTAAAGTCATTGACCCCCTCATTTCCGGGGTGTGAGATTACTTCTTGCTGCCTTGCGGTTCGCGCTTGGTTGTGTAAATGTTAGAGATATGCCCTCAAAATAAAAACGCCGAGTGACGCTGGGGGCGTCTCTCGTACCGAACTCCCAAGTAATTTCATGATCCCGTCTTCTACGGCGGCAATCAGAGACCTTCATGGAGCCAGTCTATCTTTTCCAAGTGGCCAACCGTCGTAAAGTAAAATAAGGCGGTGACCACATGCAGAACCAGGAAAATCTGCGTGTGTACTTCGTACACCACGTTGTCCGTTGGTTTGGAACCAGAGTTTTTCGCCAACTCCCTTATTGGTGATCCGTTGGTGGTTCACTGACCCGGATGTCGGCTTTTTGTCGCCTCAGTTTGGTGGGAAAACACCTCCAAGCCACGAGAAGGCAGCGGGTAGGGCTTGCTCAACTTGGACTGTTTGTCACACTTAATCAGATAGTGCAAGGGAAAGATCACCGGTCACAACCAAGGACACTCATTTTCAACCACAGTGAGGCTTTCGGTGTTGTGGGCTTTTTGTGGGTTTTTTCTTAGATTCGTCACTCCATTTGGTGACGAATAAACCTGCAAAGTAAGAATAAAGTGTCTGAAGATTTTGTACGAGACACGAAAATACCCACTCCTTATTGGTTTTTCCCATCATTTGTGAGAAATCACGTGTTTATCCCTGTTATCTAAATGTTTTTGACATTGCCGAAATTGGAGTCCATTTACCTTAGTTTGATGGGTATGCACTACTGATGAGTATTCATAACAATCTTCCAGTGCACAAATGTTGAATGATTCTGGTATTATTTACGCTAGATCTCTGTCCTCCCGTTGCTCACATAGGTTTCCGAACCAGGGAGCTCAGTTCAGTTCTCTGACAGATGTCAAATCTTCATCCACCCCGCCCGCGGCTACTCCGTTGGTTCCTGAATTAGCACACACGGGGTCAACCGGTTACGTATCCGGTACTACTGGGCTTTCTCAACACGATCACTCGTCCAGTTCAGTCACGAAACCCCTTAATCCATTCGGCGACTCTTCGACGGATGATGAGGGCGAGACCGCGAACCGTACATTGGCGGATAGCCGAGACCCGGGACTTGGTTCCATGCCATCCTCAAAGTCAGCTCAAAAGCACGAACCGTATCGCACTCCCTTCGATGAATAAACTGAACCTTCTACTTTGTGATCATGTTTTACGTATATCTTTTGTCTCCCTCTCTTTTCTCTGCTTCTCTCTCCCCCCCCCGCTCTCCAAATTGTGATTGCTATGTATTATGCTGTCGTACCTAGGCTACCGGCTTTTCAGTCGTCGTCTTCATCATCATCATCATCATCATCATCATCATCATCATCATCATCATCATCATCATCATCATCATCATCATC